ATAAGTGTACTGCTAAAACTCGAACGGATTCACAAAGTCTTGGACTGTACACGAGATACCACAATTATAACAATGAAGGTATATGCTTCTCCCCCGAAGGTGTCTCCACCTTGCCGTGGTGGGGGAGCTTGTGTTTCTCAATGACTCTGAAAGCTATGCCTGCGATAGCGTAGCTACCAGAAGGGCCTCCCAAGCCGGAAAGGTCAAAGGGTAGAGAACAGACAAAGAGGGACACCCTAGTCCTCCAGTTTGGGGGTTGAAGCGTGGGGTCGACACCCCCATCTTTGTAACACTTTATCTTTTCCTCGAACCTGGAACGTTAAACTGGCATCGTGAGAGCTAATAGACTGAAATGGTTGGGCATATTGAAAGAATGTAAGATGACAGAGAAGTAAAAACTGTATACACCAGAGAGCTGAATGGTCGTAGACCACGAGGGAGACCAAGAAGAATATGGAGAGATAATATCCAGATAGACCTGCAAACACTTGTTGTTACCAACTGGGAAAAAAAGGCCAACCAGAGAGATGAATGGAGGCGGGTGATATCTGCAGCAATGAACCTGAAGGGCTCGGAATGCTGAAGAAGAAGAAGAAAAAGAAGAAGAAGAAGAAGAAGAAGGTATATGCTTGGACTGACATCGACATAGAAGACTCACTGACGCAAGCCAAGGCCTATGTGCGAGTTACCAATGATGAGACACATCCGCTGCATGATTTTAGAGGTAAAAAAAAAAGTAAAGGACCCTTTCCATGCCTTTAGGCGTAAAAGGCATATAGGGCTAGACCTATATTTTTATAGATCAACGGCACAAGATGGGTGATGTGGTCAGCATCACGCCGGCCGCCTCTACTTCCCGGGATTGCACCCGGTACCCACTCAAGGATGGGTCGACCTGGGAGCCAAGGTCATTTTTGAAGAAAAGTCCGTCTCCGCCAGGGAGCGAACCCACGACCTTCCGATCCGCGGCGCGCGTCTAGCCGCTCTGCCACGGCGACTCCCCGATTTTAGAGGTGACCGGTTGAAAATAAGAAAGTCACGGATGGCACTAGCTGATATCTACTATCGGGCAGCCGGCCTCAGTCAAGCAAATACACACGGGGCATGAATAATTACACATGAACACACAACAGCGGCTTTCATCAGGTCATTATCATGTTAGGAAGAGAATATATAGAGTGATGTAACGTTATGGTAGAATTAGAGGTACAACAACATATATATGAAGATGCTGATACAATGTAAATCGATGGTTCTATTCGTGAGGAAGCTGGCTGGAGGTTTCAACTTGAGTGAAAGGAAAAGTCGCAGCAGACAAAATAGTGCTTTTTAATACAACTTCAAGCATAAGGATAGAGGTTGGGGCAATCACTGCACCTCTGAAATGGGTAACAGAAAACAGATTTACTAAAGGGATTGTAGTGTCTGATTTTCATCGATAATGCGGAAGGTTTAGAATGGACACATATGGCTTGAATAGATACTGAGCATCAACACGTCAGCGTTACAGGGACTCGTGTGAATATATTGTCTGGGATATGCGAAAGAGCGAGCGAATGAAAGAACGGAATTGTTGGCTACAAAAGCGATAGCTACAGGAACACTCAGATGAGATAGACATTCTGAAAACCATTTATGAATGAACGAATGCTGGTAGAAGACACGAGGCTAAATGAAATAACATTTATAATAATGTTGTAACATGAAATTCGTTTAACAACTCATAAATAAACTTGCAAGCCATTTTCTCAAAAACTGCCTGTTAGATCACAATGATTTTTTTGCACACAGCCTTACAATATCCATGATGTACAGATGGACATATAATCAGACTGCGTCCGGTACTATTAGTATTGGAACTGCTCTTGCTGCTAAAATGGGGATGGAGCGCATATGGGAATGTCCCGAGTGATGTAATGTCTTTCTTGACTCAACTCACCCCAGCTCAGTTGAACATAAATGACATAAATGACAACAAATAAATTTACTTCACCTGTCAATGTAAAGACACACCTCTGGGGGGAAAAAACGAAAATTCCGATTTTTACTGTTTAATCTAAAAGATCAAAGGAACTGGCTGGTATTCAGCATTCTGAGCATCTATGGACTAAAGAAAACCACTATTTTGTGTCATGGATATTGTAAGGTTGCATGCAAAAAATCGTTGCGATCTAACAGGCAGTTTTCGAGCAACTGGCTTGCAAGTGCGTTTATGAGATGTTGAACGAGCTATAAGAGTAGATCTGGCAAGCAGGGACGTATGACAAGTAGAAAACTACAAGTGCGTTTATGAGATGTTGAACGAGCTATAAGAGTAGATCCGGCAAGCAGGGACGTATGAAAAGTAGAAAACTACAAGTGCATAATCAGTGTACAATGAGAATAGTTAGCAACAACACCTACAGATATTTGCTGGGCGAGTCAGAAGATTTGTAAATATGCCCTTGTGCTCTGATGTCAATTATTAAAGTAGTAATCAGACTGCGTATAATTCAAATACAGGATGGGAGATGAACTTCGATATTGGGTGTATTTACCGCCTATTACGACAGTGAAGGATAGGGGCAGTCCTGTAAAGTAAAACGTACAGAACAATTTTCGAATGGTGTAAGAATCATATTTTTTTTTTTAATAAACAGATAGGCATGTGATACAACATCGGCTACCTCCCCAGGGTTGTGGGCTCCTCACCCTGAGGATTCTGGGCTACATTTTTTTTTTTTTTTTTTGCTGTCGCCAGGAACTGCACATTTTATATTATTAGTTTACCACATGAAATTAAAACAAATAAAAGACCAGCACCTTACCGAAGGTTTGAATCTGTTCTCACACATGACAGTTCAACTTCCTAACTACTCAACCAGCCACTTTTCGGGAGAATTAACACTCACTGTAATGATCTATTTCCTATTTCTTCACAATAATGCAGAGTTTGGTGATTCTCCCTTTTAGTTTTTTGTTTTGTTTAGCAAGTTACTATATCAAATACAGTTCATTGGTTCACTAGATGCTTTATTAATATCCTCCCTCAAAGAGGGGAAATCCACAGGTAACAGGACAGTCTAATATTTCAGGGGGTGGTGGATAGGATGCATGCAGTCGTGGAACCTGGGCTGCACTCTCTCGTGGGACGTAGGTGTGTTAGGGTTAGGGTCAGTTCTAGATGTTTTGGGGTCGTTAAAAGCATTAGAAAGCTGGGAAACCCAGTTTTACCGCCCTCTAAAATGTTGGACTGCCCTGTGACGTCATCTGGGGTAGGATATAATAAAGCACAGTTCACTGCCTTTATATGTCATATAGGGCTCGCAGTCTATTTCTCCATACCGTTACGACATGTATGCAATCACTTTCATATCATGGATTAAATCCAGTCCAGCACCTGTGTCTTTTTTTAATGAATGTTTGTCTTAGGGTTTATCTTGGCATGGTTGAGCTGGCCTCACGCCCAGCCCTCCTCCTTTTTCATTCGGGATTAGGACCAGCATTGGCGAAGATATCAACACACAATGCATGTATATTTAACACTAACACTTGAGTAAATGACCTATCTAAATGGACATGTGATGCTGTACTCATATCTTACAGATTCATGGGCATTCGGTGAGTAATGTGGTCACCATTACAATTTCTGTTTTCACTTACAGAGACTGCATTTGGTATCCATATCAGACTGGGTCGATCTACAGCCAATGTTACCTCGTTGCTTAGACCCGGCCGGCAGGTAAGTGACCAGCTAATGGTCTGCTGTGGCGCCTTAACTACCGTAGCGTATACAATAATGCACAAAAGATAATTTATGGGAAAAACGCCAACTGAGATTTAAAAAAAATTAAATGAAACAAAGCTTAAGGTTAGATTCACCTATTGTTATGTCTAGAAACTTACAGTTCACGAAGCGCTGATAGATGTTGAAATGTTTGTCCTGACGGGTCCAGTGCTTCAATGTTATTGTTGGACAGATTTCTAAAACAGACAATAACACTCATAAGTTGTGTGTTTGTGTGTGTGTCTGTGTATCTCTCTCTCCTCCCCCCCCTCTCTCTCTCTCTCTCTCTCTCTCTCTCTCTCTCTCTCTCTCTCTCTCTCTCTTTTAATTAACATATCGCTGAGACCCTGGTAGGGTATTTGTTTGCCCTCGATAATATTGGCCCATTAGAGGCAATCCTAGTTTTGCGCGATTTGTTCCTCGGCAGGTACTCCGCAATTTACACACGACTGAGGCCCTCCTAGGTTATTTGTTTGCCGCCATAATATGGGGACAAAGTTCGGAGAAGAACCCGAAAATCAACTTTTTGGACACTTAGCATGTGGGCTAGATACATCCACCCCCAGTTAGCATGCAACAATGCTTTCATGCTAGCCTTGTAGTTTGTATTCGACTCCCTACTGGGGGCGGTTTTTGCTTTACACTGAGCTTAGATTCTCACATCCACATACTCTAAGTTAGTGTCTGGCAAGGTTTTGCGAAGGCCTATGTAAAGGAAAGGCCGTCAAACCAGAAATGATCAGGACAGAGGCAGTTACACTTTTGGAACTGTCAATGTTTTATTTTAAACAGATACAAATCGTAGATTACATCTTTTGTTGTTCTTTTATCTTCAAAATGATCGGCACACATAAAAAAAAAAAAAAATAATAATGGCACGAAGTATTGTGCACTAACAAATATTATTAGAATTGCAGTCACGATAACTGACACAGACTGACAAAACAGATTAAGAAAATAATTCATGTACCAGATCATCACCGTTGCCTTATACATCCAGGACTGCAAAGAAGCCTGGGCAGTACTTAGAATAGCCGTCCCAGTTATAACCTCTTTGAAGGTTGAACAGGGTATCGGGGGTATGCTTTGTTGGTTCGCCATTCACGATACAATTTTTATAGTCTTAAAGGTGGTAAAACCTTCTGGTAGGAGCTCGAACGGGACAAACAAACATATGCACCAGATATGTATATTAACCCAAACAAAGATGGAATATAACAAATAATTCGCTTACAAAGTTTCCAGCTTGAAAAGTCCTTTAAATGCGTTAGGATGTATCGATGATATCTTATTGTCTTGGAGGAATCTGTAAAAACAAATAAATAATTTAGTGAATTCAGAAATATGAAATAAAGAAGAAATTTATAACATATAGCACAATTTATTGCCTGAAAACTTCCGGTTAAAATGAAAGCTAGACAGCAGCACTGTTCGAAGCAGAGGCAAATTTGTTGCTTCTGCCGGACGGTTGCTGATGCATTTTTGCTCCATTTGTAGACTGGATATAGTTTCGTCGCCCAGCTTCTGAGTTGAATGCATGGCGTGACCCTGTGAGCTGCGGATTGTATTTGGAATGTTTTTGTTTTTTTCGACTGTGACCAACGTGGTGGTGTGAATTGTAGATTCAGAGAATTTAAAATTGATCGCGTGGGCAACTGCTGATCTGTTGGGAACAAGTTCTGCTATCATCAATGATGAACTGCATTTCTAATGTTTGACTGTTTGTGTTAGCACTTCGGATGGCTACCGTATGCTTTAATGTGTATGCAGATATGCTGAGACAGCAGTCTGTCAATCTTTCCACAAGGAACTGTGATAAACAGTATGTGTGCTTTTCGTTGGCACAGGAGCGGAGCAAAGATGGGGTGACCCGTTTGCTATGAAACTGAAACTAAGACTACCAGACTACCAGACTTATTGCCTGACATATTTCGTTTATTTTATTGTATCTCGTCGCGAATGGCAGCGAATCTTGGAATGTCAGTGAACAAATTAGGAAGAATTTAGAAGCAACAGAGATGTGGTTTCTGAGACGAATGTTACGAATACTTTGGACAGCCAGAGCAACTAACGATTGCTTAAAAGAAGCTAATGAAAGTAGATCTCTATTTACAACAGTAAGAAAGAGACAAACACTGTTCTTTGGCCATATAATGAGAAGAGAGACATTGAAGAGCATCGTGACAACTGGAAATATCTTGGGGAAAGTGGTAGAGGCAGACCAAGAGAGATGATGCTGGATGAGCTGAAACGATGGCATGGAGAGATATCATCAAGAGAGCTGTTCCAAGCAACCAGGGATCGTGATTTGTGGAGACGCACGAGCGCCTACACCAGTTGGCAGGGCACATGATGCTGATGACGATGATGATGATCTCGTCGCGTGCACAACTATAAAAGTGACACCAAAGTAGCATCTTCTTTGTCAACAGGTATTTCACAGAACATTGCTCTCGTCATATCACGTGTGAAAGCATCTTTTTCTAGCAAATTTTCCAATCCTATGTGCGTTCACAGCAAATGCATCGTCAATGTCTTGTGTCCAGTTTCACGGTCTGCCTCTGCATCTGCCTCCATCACCGCTCTCTCAAGGCCACAATAACATTCACATGGCCAAACACCTAAGGCTCTCGGGACAGGTGATTTATCAGCCAATTCTCCTCAATGCTCAGATCATGCAGGGTGTCGGTTTTTATCTTCTTCGTGTTACAATGTATTCTTAGAATTGTTCTGTAACATTTCAGTTTAAAAGCTCCGATGTTTCTTCTTCATTTATTGAGTAAGAGTCTGTAACTCCCATTACACGTTGTCAGGGAAAGATGTGTGATCTCAGAATGTTGACTTTAACTCGCGAGCACACCAACATGTATGATCTCAGAATGTTGACTTTAACTCGCGCGCACACCAACATGTATGATCTCAGAAAGTTGACTCCAACTCGCGCGCACACCAACATGTATGATCTCTGAAAGTTGACTTCAACTCGCGCGCACACCAACATGTATGATCTCAGAAAGTTGACTCCAACTCGCGAGCACACCAACATGTATGATCTCAGAAAGTTGACTTCAACTCGCGAGCACACCAACATGTATGAAGCACCAAAAACAAGTCAGATTTATAAAGTAATACGAGACACTGATTTGTGTATCTCAATTAGAATGATACCTTTGAAAAAAAGAAAGTTAGTAGTGTTTCCTTTATAGAACAGAATCAACCTAGGTATTTGTGTGTGTGTGGGGGGGGGGAGGGAGGGGAGGGCGGCTATTTGTGATTTTATTAGGCAAGTTTTCGTTAAGTAGTTTGCCACTGCCCTCTGAACGCTTGGTGTTTCCACCTTGTTGCGGTGGTGCGGCCTGTGTTTCTTAACGACTATGAGAGCTATGCCGGCAGTAGCATAGCTACTTGCAGGGCATCCCAAGCCGAAAATGTCAAAGGGTAGAGAATAAAGAGAGACACACTGGTCCTTCACGTTGGGAGTTGAAGCGTGGCACCGACACCCTCCTCTTCGTAAAAGTTCATTTCCTACAAAACAGATATCTAAGCCTCGATTTTGGCTGAATTTAAACGGACGAGGAAATTGGAACGTTAAAGAAAGAACGACGGAGAGAGAATATCACGACAGACCTGTAAACTCTTGGTGTCACTAACTGAAAAGAGAAGGCAAGCCAGAGAAATGAATGGAAGGGGGTGATATCTGCTGCAATGAACCCAAAAGGCTCGGAATGCTGAAGAGGAAGAGGAAGAAGAAGAAGAAGAAGAAGAAGAAGAAAAAGAAAAAGTGACAGTTTGCCACTGCCTCCTAAACAATCGGTTCTCTATATCACTGTCGAAACCAACAGAAGGCGGTAGGCTGCTAACTTGCCCACAGCTAGGATCGAAGTCTTCACCTTGGAATTGCGAAGTCAGTTCTCAACGTCTAAGCCACAGATGCAGACACATACCATAAGGTAAACATCCCAATCACCGGACAGCAATAGCTTCCTATTTAACAGAATTAGTAAAAATAAATAACCAGACAGTCAAGTAAAAAAAAAGTACAACGGTTGCAACTTACAACTGCTCAAGGGACTCAACCCCTGTGAAATCATTCTCTTGTATTTTGTGAATTTCGTTTCCATTCAGATACCTGGATAAAAGATTAGTGTCATTAACATCAATGTAATGTTAACATCAATGTAATGTTAACATCAATGTAATGTTAACATCAATGTAATGTTAACATCAATGTAATGTTAACATCAATGTGATGTTAACATCATTGTAATGTTAACATCTTTCTAATGTCGCTTAAGCACAGTGTCCTTCTAAAAGTATTCAATTAAGGGAAATACAAATTACGTGGAATCGTTAATCTGAAATTACTCTTTAAAGTCTTTATGTTGCACATACTCCTCACACTTTGCCCCTGTTCAGATTACAGTTCTCGTCCTTTTTTAGGATGAAATTTTTCTTTATTTGAAGCCCCACTTTGGCTTTTGTCAGGGACCGCAATATAGCCTGAACATAAATATGACCTAAAGACTGAACGCGGTTTCTGGGACCTCTCCACGGTGATCTTTACCCACATGGTGGCACATTGTGGTATTGGGTATTTATCACGTGTGTGATGTCCAGGTGGGGTAGAAAGTCAGTCAGTCAGGCACTACTATATTACTCTATTTTCAATTTCGTTCTTTTCAGGACGAAATTTTTTGTCATTTGAAGCCCTACTCTGGCTTCTACCAGGGGCCGCAATATAGGCAGGCCATACATATGGCCAAATGTCTGAACGCGGTTTCTGGGACCTCTCCACGGCGATCCTCATCCACATTGTGGCACTTTGTGTCATCGGGTGTTTATCGCTTGTGTGATGTCCTGGTAGGGTAGAAAGTCAGTCAGTCAGTCAGTCAGTCACTATTCCCTATGTTATGTGTTATTCTTCTTCCTCGTGAGGGACGCAATTTTTTTTTTTTTTTAAGCCCCCACCCTGGCTCTTGCCAAGGGCCCTAATGTAACCCAACCTATGGAGGTTCCCGTGGTGAAGTGGTCGTGGGTTCGCACTTCAGCTGCTCCCTTCAGTTCACGAGTGCAATTTGTAGCCGTTTTATCCTCGGTAATAAAGCTGATCCTCTCGACTTTAACTTGCTCGGCACGCTAGCTCGTTTGGTTAAACCTGCCTGCGCAGCGACCGAAAGTCAAACTCGCGCTCGGGGGTAGGCAGAGAAGCCACATATTTCCCAAATTCACAGTAACTATCAAGGAATAAAGGCTGAAGGGCTGCGATATCCATAACACCGAGCCAAAGGGTTTACAACTCATGGTTTCTAGATTTTAAAAAATCCAACTAGGCTGAACGGGGTTTCCGGGACCACTCCATGGGTGATCCTCATCCGAGTGGTGGCGCTTCGTGTTTATCGCTCTGTGTGATGTCATGGTGGGGTAAAACGTCAGTCAGTGCCATATATTGTTAGAAGTTAGGTAATCGACCGACTGTCCTCATCGCACATCGGACAAGTCCGTAAGCCCTCAGATCCCATTTTTAGTATCTCCCTCAGCATATTTACTAAAAACACCAGTTCTGTGTTTGTTGACTATTATTCTTTGGCTACCTGTATAGTGTTCTTGTCTGGCAACACATCCTTTGACATAAAGTTATCTTCCTATGAATCATCTACTCGTTCGGCTTCCATGAGATCACAGAGAACATCAGACAAGTCCATTGCTTGTCCTGTATCTACTGTGCCAGCAAGCCAGTCCGCTCGTTCATTTCCTCTATCCCAGTTTCCTAGCATCAAAATTAAACTTATTTTCGTCAGGCGATAATTCGATTCTTTCGTAATATCCTACCCCAGATGATTTCACAGGACAGCTCAACATTTTAGAGAGTTGTAAGACTGGGTTTCCCGGCTTTCTGATGCTTTTAAAATCTTAAAACATCTAAAACTGACCATAACCCCAACCCACCTACGTCCCACGAGAGAGTGCAGCCTAGGTCCCACGACTGCATGCAGCCTAGGTTCCATGACTACATGCAGCATTTCTACCACCCGCTGAAATTTTAGACAGTTCCGTGACCTGTGGATTTTTCCTGTTTGCGGAGGATTTTAAGAAAGCACCAATAATTCCTCTGACACTCTAACCATTGTCTTCGAACCACCCTGTCATGGAATCATTTAGAAAGCATGCAAGTGACTTGTAAGGTGATTTGTATTGTTGCATGTAACTGGACTTATAAACGGTTTCACAAAAATTTGGAAAAATTGTCATAACTAAAATTAATTATGAAAAAAATGGGAAACAAGAGAGATGAATCTTGAAGAAATTTTATCAAGACTAAGATGTTTGTCACCAAAACAAATTTGAACCATAATGCATATTATCACAAGCCATGGAAAAGCATTTAACGTGCTAGTATGAAAGGTATGAATGAATGACTGACGTTCAACCCAACCAGGACCGCACAAATAGTGATAAACAGGCCGTAACACAAAGTGCCACCATTCGGATGTAAATCGCCCGGGTACAAGTCCCAGAAATCCCGTTCAACCGTTGGATTATATTACAGCCTGCAACTACAGCCGTGGTGGGGCTTCCAAATTAAACAAAACATTTTTTTTTTAAACTGCACCCCAGGTAAGGGTAGATATTCTATTACAAAATCCATGTAATGTTTTTGATGATGAAGACAACTATGATGATGACGACAATGACGATAACGGTGAGGATAAAATATAATACCAAAGTTAAGATAGCCATCTAACAACACAAAAGAGATCACACTAGACCATTTGAATATACTTACAGTTTTTTTATTGTTGAAATAATTTTATTTGGAACTGCCTTCAACGGGGAACTTCTCTTGGCACAGTCGACAATAGTTGTATTGCAACTACATACAGCATTCCGGTTCTTGGCCTTTTTGAAAGAGTTGCATGCCTCCAGTCTTTTGCCTGGTCTCGAAACGTGTCCGTTCAGACACTCCAGGGTCAATAGTATCAAGAACAGATAACAATGAGACTGCATGATAAGATGTGGCCGTCGATGATAAAAACGTTGAAGTATTTTCAAAATCGTCATAGAGAGTAACTAGTGTGTGAATCCGAAACGCCTACAGTGAAAAAGAACATGTATTTATTATTCCAATAAGTTACACTGAAACAGCTTATCTATATTAATAAAAATGTTAATTTTCCGATTTTGTTAGCTAAAAACTCGGAAACTACTGAACCGATTGCTTTCAAATTTGCGCACAACGTTGCCTTTGACTCCAAAAATGATTTTTTTTTGGGGTCAGAAAATCACACAAACCACGAGCGACGTAGCTCCAGCAACGGTCAAATCATTATTTGTTTCGTCGCCGGCCCGGATTTGTTTTTAATTAATTGACCATATTTGACTGCTGAGCTCTTATTGAACTGTAAGTTATTATATAATTTCATTTCCACTATTTTCATTTCCCACGTTCGATTCTCAGATAGGTGATATAATTTTTTTTACCCCTTACCTGAGCGGCTGGCACGTTGTGTTGTGGTTTATGGCTAGGCTGCGATATCTACGCCTTTTTCGGTTTCGGGGTTTACAGCTAGCCTGCGACAGCGGCGACGTGATGCTCAATGGTCATGTCGCCTTTAATCTTCGTTCGCCCTCGAGAGGGCCGTTGGCACGTTGTGTTGTGGTTTACAGCTAGACTGCGATATCTGACCTAAACTCTTCAGTCGTCGGTAGTATAGTTGTAAGTATGTCATCCTTCACGCGGGTAACCGGTGTTCGATTCCCCGTTGGGTGATATTTGTTCTTTTTCCCTTAAAAGGGTGGTTGCCACGTTGTGTTAAGGTTTACAGCTAGCTGCGATATCTGCGCCTTTCGCAGACATCCGATTTCAGTTAAGTCCTAATTAGCCTCCCCGCGACGCTTCTCGATCAAACACTATTCGGCGATGACAGAAACTGTTAACTAAGACGGCTTACAGTCCAGTTTAGTTTGGGTGGACACGGATGCAAAGTCAGTTAAAAATCGTTCCCTCGGAGAGGAAGAGATGACGGGTGCAGGATATTTTCCTCAGCTATGCGTGAGCATAGTGTACTTTTCACTGTGGGTTCCATCACTGGTTACGTGATGAAGTTTTTTCCCCCTTATGTCGGGGGCAAAATTAAACTAAATAGTCCGTGGCGACAGCATGTGGCGCTAACTCCTCTTTTCTACACCGACCTACACAGACTGTAGTGACAGTTTTTGTTGTTGTTGTTGTGATGGTGGTGGTGGTAGTGGTTGCAGTAGTACTGGTACTGGATGGGTGATGTGGTAGCTGTTACACTGGCTACATTTACTTCTCTGTACAAGTTAATGCTACATTTTAAGTCTGGGTAGACCCGGATGCCAAGCTCAATTTAGTTTCAATATTTCGTTACACGGTGACTTCCCCATCCTTCGGAGAAGATGATATGATTGGGGGGAAAATGGGTGGGGGGGGGGGGGGTTATGCCAGACATAGTTAGCTGAGAGAGCCTAGAATATTTTTTTAAAGTTCTCATTTCTTAACTATTTCTATTTTAATAATTTCGCCATAGATGATTTTTCAGTCCTTCGGAGAGGGAGATATGACTTCGCCAGGTGATGATTTTTCAATCTTTCGGAGAGGGAGATATGATTGGGGGGAGCGGGAGGGGCGGGAGGGGCGGGAGGTTATGCAAGACACCGTGAGCTGAGAGAGCCTAGAATATTATTTTAATGTTCTCATTTCTTAACTATTTCTATTTTAATAATTTCGCCAGGTGATGATTTTTCAATCCTACGGAGAGGGAGATATGACTTGTGGAAAGACGGGGGGGGGGGGGGGGGGGGGGGGGGGTTATGCCAAACACAGTTAGCTGAGAGAGCTTAAACTATTATTTTAAAATTCTTATTTCTTAACTATTTCTATTTTAATCATTTCGCCATGGATGATTTTTCAGTCCTTCGGAGAGGAAGATATGACTGCGTCGAGGGGAGAGAAAGAGGGGGGAGGGGGGGGGGTATGTTAGCTGAGAGCTATTTTCTTTCCTCTCCATTTCACCATTCTGGGCCACAGCAACGCGTGGCCGGGTACCCCTAGTAAAAATATATATAGCTAATATGTCTGTGACACTTAGGCGATTTATTCTACTGCAATGGAATAGTCTGCAATACTGCAGTCAAAAAGTGTTTGTCCCTACATGCAGAGCTGTCTTAACATAATTATTGGCCCCTGAGCAAACCAGTGTGCTGGGGCCCTGCATTAAATACTTACAGAAATGAAATGTAAAAGGTTCATAATCATGAAACCTTTTTGATCGTGGAAAGTGCAGAGCGGGCCCATGTGTTAAGACGGTACTAACTACACAGAATCAACCTGTGACAACACAGGGAATTAATCTGTAACTCTATAGGGAATTAATCTGTAACTCTACAAAGAATTAACCTGTGACAACATGGGGAATTAGTCTGTAACTCTACAGGGAATTAACCTGTGTCAACACAGGGAATTATTCTGTAACTCTACAAAAAACTAACCTGTGACAACACATGGTAATAATCTGTAATTCTATAGGGAATTAACCTGTGACAACACAGGGAATTAATCTGTAACTCTACAATGAATTAACCTGCGACAACAAAGGGAATTAATCTGTAACTCTGGAACGAAATAATCTGTTACTCTATAGGTAATTGATTTGTAACTCTATAGGGAATTATTCTGTAACTCTACAAAGAATTAACCCGTGACAACACAGGAAAATAATCTATAGCGGTACAAAGAATTAACCTGGGACAACACAGGAAATTAATCAGTAACTACAAAGAATTAACCTGTGACAACACAGAGAATTAATATGTAACTATAGGGAATTAATCTGTAACTCTACAAAGTGTTCCCATGTGACAACACAGGGAATTAGTCTGTAAATCTATAGGGAATTAACCTGTGACAACACAGGAAATAAGTCTGTAACTCTATAGGAAATTAATCTGTAACTATACAAAGAATTACCATGTGACAACAAAGGGAATTAATCGTAACTATATAAGGAATTAACCTGTGACAACACAGGAAATTAGTCTGTAACTCTATAGGGAATTAATCTGTAACTCTACAAAGAATTAACATGTGACAACAAAGGGAATTAATCTGTAACTATATAAGGAATTAGTCTATAACTTTACAAAGAAATAACCTGTGACAACACATGGAATTAATCTGTAACTCTACAAAGAATCAACATGTGACAACACAGGGAATTAATCTGTAACTCTCAATACGTTTTATCTGTAACCCTACAAAAAATTAACCTGTGATAACACAGGGAATTAATCTGAAACTCTAGAGAGAATTAATCTGTAACTCTACAATGAATTAACCTGTGACAACACAGGGAAATAATCTGTAACTCTACAAATATTTAACATGTGACAACACAGGGAATTAGTTTGTAACTCTAGAGAGAATTAATTTGTAACTCTACAAAGACCTAACCTGTGACAACACATGCAATTAGCCTGTAACTCTATAAAGAATCAACCTGTGACAACACAGGGAATTAATCTGTAACTCTACAATGAATTAACCTATGACAACACAGGGAAATAATCTGTAACTCTACAAATAATTAACATGTCACAACACAGGGAATTAGTTTGTAACTCTACAAAGAATTAACCTGTGACAACATAGGGAATTAATCTGTAACTCTACAAGCAATTACCATGTGACAACACAGGGAATTAGTCTGTAACTCTAGAGAGAATTAATCTGTAAATCTACAAAGAATTAACCTGTGACAACACATGGATATAGCCTGTAACTCTACAAAGAATCAACCTGTGACAACACAGGGAATTAATCTGTAACTCTACAAAGAATCAACCTGTGACAACACAGGGAATTAATCTGTAACTCTACAAAGAATCAACCTGTGACAACACAGGACATTAGTCTGTAACTCTACAAAGAATTAACCTGTGACAACACAGGGAATTAATCTGTAACTCTACAAAGAATTAACCTGTGACAACACAGGGAATTAATCTGTAACTCTACAAAGAATTAACCTGTGACAACACAGGGAATTAATCTGTAACTCTACAAAGAATTAACCTGTGACAACACATGTATATAACCTGTAACTCTACAAAGAATTAACCTGTGACAACACAGAGAATTAATCTGTAACTCTACAAAGAATTAACCTGTGAAACTTCATAGAACAAATTAGTAACAATATACGAAACTCCCTTGTAACATGGCAAGGAGCTAATCTGTAATAATTTAAGGGTTTATTTCATAACACTTCAGCAATCTAATCTCTGCAGTGTACATACAAGTCTGGGACAAACATGGAACTAATCTGGTAGCAATGGATCGGCAGAATAAATGAACAGACCACTTGCTTCTTCTCTGAAAATTGATGGAGAATGCCATTATATTGTCTGACTACTTGTCCGGCAGTGAAAACGTGATCTCTCTGCTGGATTAACACTTGATGTTCAATAAAATCGTTATTTTAGAATTATAACTGGCTGTACAATGTGTGTTTAGATAGGGGCTTCATACGAATGTTGAGAGTATCATTGACGGAACGGCAAATAAAAGCTACGGTACTATTACATGAAGGTTATTATAGTACTCATTCATTTCGTAAAGATCTCTCTGTCTATAATGAAGAAAATAGAGCTAAGTGTTGCTAGAGAAAGATTCACAGAACACCACGGACAAAGAAGACAAGATGTACTGACATGCTAACAGATTTGAACATCAAGGAAGATTGGCTTAACAGCACTGTGTCTCAGAAACTGAATTATGGCTTAACAGCACTGTGTCTCAGAAACTGAATTATGGCTTAACAGCACTGTGTCTCAGAAACTGAATTATTTTAGTCATCTTAGTGCCACTGTGGACTGAAACAAAAATAATAGCAGAAGGCATGGTACAAGGAAAGAGGGGCAGCGGCAGATCAGCGTGAAGACGGGCACACGATAGAAGTGACACCTTTGGAAAGAAAGAGCACAAGGCAGAGGAGCTGGTGAGAGACCGAGTTTCTTTCAGGCAGACTGTGATGAGAGCG